TCTTACACTGATCGTTTGTCACATTTTGGACTGCTACCCCTTTCGACACGCAGGAAAGCTGCTGACATAATGTTTGTCTATAAATTAATAAATGGCATTATTGATTCCCCAAAGTTATTAGAGCGTTTATATTTATCAGTTCCGCGTGCAGGTTGTCGTATTCATAATAGGAAGACGTTTATTTTGCCTCATTGTAGAACGAAACTCGGCCAGAACTCTCCCATGTATCGCATGCCTTCGCTATGTAATACGATTAGATTTGATATTGACATATTCGCTAGTTCTTTGGCCTCTACTAAAAAGAAAGTGTCCAGGTTTTTTTCGGTCCTATAATATCATTAAAGTATTAAATAGTTTACTCATTAATTTAATTATTCAAGTATAATGTTTTATTTCGTTTTATATACAAAAAAATAATAGTTTTTACTCATTTCATAGTGGTCAGCAGATAAACCTTTGTACCTAATGTTATATTGAGTTTCATTGTGTATGCTGTGTTTGCTATGTATAGAATGCAATCATTTTTTTTCTGTGTAAATTTCTTTTGTAATCATGCTAGATTGTATTCAGTTAAGCAGACCTAATAAAATAAAAAAAGAAAAAAAAAAGACTCACTGACACACATAACAATAGAATCTGAGTTTCCTAAACACAATTTATAACACGTCGATCTAAAACCCTGTCAAAAATGAAAAACATGTTATTTCTATCAAAGTACTCAACGTTTTAAAAATAATTAATATAAACCATAAATTACATCTATAATAACCTGTAAGAAGTAAAAAGCACTGTTTTCGTAGAAGAAATATTAATACGGACATGGTATGTATCCATTAATCTATTCGGTACATGACAAAGTTGTGCGTGTATTATAACTATTTTTATCTCAAAACGGTTCATTTAAATGTGTAATATGTATAGGTTAAGTAACCTAAATTATTCGGAGTAAAAAATATACATATACAACATATACATAAATATGTGGAACAATATGAAAGCTAAGTTAGTAAATTGCGGCTTGTATCTTGTATTAACTGATGTTTTTGCTTTCAGTCCCGAGACTATTAAAGCTTCATCTGACGCAGAACCGGTGGGCTAGCCAGAACCCACGGGTTTGGGCCCTCCGCTGTGGGTAGGGCCGCGCATGTGCTCATGCGTGCGTTTAACTACGACATGTCATCTAAGGGCCATCGAAGTTGCGGTGCGGACCGAGACCCCGATGGCCGTCGACTGTGTTTTTAGTTAATCGGTGGCTGGGGGCGGTGAGAACCGCCCTGGAACGCGGGTGTACCTTGTGTACGCGTTGTGTTGGTCTCGCCGTGCTCGGAGGCGAGGGCGAACTGGTGTGTTTGTTGTTGCACTAACTGTGGGTGTAGTGTTATCCGGCGGGACCCCCGGCGGTGGGTCCGGCGTATCTAAGTCCCTTCCTCGACCGTCTCGAACTCGAACCGTTTGGTCAGGTCTTTAAAATATTCGCGAATCGTCGGGAGTCTGCAATCGCTGTGCAGATCGACGTTGCGTTGATACCACTGCGCACCGGTTGCACGGCGGATGAACTTATTTTGTACTATTTGCAGCTTGTACAAGCGAGTAGGGTGCGTGTGGGCGAAGATCATGCATGCGTACGACCTATTATGTCCTACGCAGGTCTTATATAATAATAATTTGTGCCTTAAGGGCATTTTACTTTTAGCGTTAGTTAAATTGTGTAGCCGGCCGGAGACGAACGCGGCTCTACTACGTACGAGTAGGTTGAATGTAAATACATACAAGTCCATGTCCAATGCACTTTATGCGTCAATACGTTATAATTTTATTACAAAATGATATCTTTAGCATATTTAAAAACTTTTAATCGTTGTCATCGTCCATCAGGGGCCCATCAGCTGGCTCTTTATAAGCGCAAATGCAATGGCCGCCGAGAATGAAGCACCGCCTTATGAATTAGATAAATGATTGGCCGTAATCTCGGCGGCGCTCCAGCTTTACTTAACCGGTAAGTCTTCAAAAATTTCGTCCTACCAGTTGGCTTTTCCTTTCCGGATCATAGCAGATTTGGCCAGGCTTGACCTGGATTTGCTGCCAACAATTATCGGGAAACTGATATTTGTTGCGAACAATTAGATACTATACTATAATATATTGGTACTATATTAGAGACCACAATCGATTGCCCTCGATCATTTTTTTTTAAATTACTGTCGTTGTTAATTTATTGTTACTATAATCTGAGCTTACAACGGAGCTTACAATAAACTGTTTAAGGTCCAGACTTAAAAAAACTTACTTGCTACTTTTTACACTTACATTTAAACTTATTTAGTAGTTAAAATTTTTTTATTTAATGAAGGTTTGATGAATGTTTATGCCACCCTTATTGGCATTCCCACGCTTTATAACTAATTTCACAAATTTATACATTCGCTTTTTTATCTCTGATAGAGATTGCGCAAGTGTATTGTTGACCTTAGCAATTTCAAATCAATCTTGGTAGTATTAAGCTACATGTATGAATATATATAATATGGAAAGATTATTTATGATGAATAAATAATTGCGTTATTTTTTAAAATTCATGCTTCTGCCTTTTATAATTTTGGAGTTATAATTCTTTAGTATCAAAAAAAGTTTTGATCTCTTGTGAAAATTCCTTAGTATGAAGGCTGTGCTAGCCTTTCTTACGTCTGCATTTTATGTATCATAATGAAAAATGTTATTGTAAGGGAAATCAACATCGTGTCTTTTTTGAATAATACACCCGCTTAAATAAATAGTTATATATAATCATTATAATATATTTATATTATTATGACCTAAAAAGTATGGAACAATAAAAGAAAATCTTAATTATTTGTCACTTCTTATAAAGGTAGGAATGGATTATAAAGTGGCATTTATTTTTCTCCGTTCCAAATTGTAGAAGCTTAATAATAAAAATGCAAAAAAATTTAAAAACATGAGTTTTTGACATGAGTTTTCCGCTTCTTATATTGTTAATGAAAATTTAAGCAGTTTTGTAAGGTATAGTGAAAACCATAAATCAAATCAAATCAAATAAGTTATTCATCCAAATAAGAAACATACATTTCATTTATCGATGGTCAATTTTTTTAAATATGTTACCGTTTGGTTATCTATAGGTATTAATCGGTAACCGGGAAGTGGATCAAATTTTTTTGCAAGATTTGATGACAAACATCGGGACGCTAATCTTACAATCATATAAAACATTGGAATGAAATAAAAAAATTAGAAAGCGTTTAAAACAAATTAGAAAATAAGAAATATTATATGTGAATACGGTTTGAATAAAAAATATTTATTTTTTATTCACACCGTATTCAATTCCTCCTTTTAAATGAACTCTTTCAAAAGAATTCATTGAAAAGGACAACAGAAATATTCTGTTAATTACACAACTCGCATCTGTTTTTTATCAGTATTGATGGATGGTTCAACGCTTGAACGACAATATCGTTAGAATTTCCTTTTTTAAGTGTCCATATTCTGGTAAGTAAATAGGTAAGTGGTTAGCTTTTATGTTTAATAAAATATATAAAATTTAACTGGTTGAGTGGTAAACGATTAAAATAATCTGGTTGAGTTATTATTATTTTGCAATATATTTTTCTAATGGAGCACATGAAATGCATCAACTAATGTAATATAGTACTAGTAACATTTTTCGTCGTTTTAATATATTCGATACTACGATCGTTATAACCAAGTAGTAGTGAAGACTAAACATGTATTTACAGTTCACTCTTTTTAGGCCATTTGTGTGACTCGTGCTGTTTAAGCGTCCCTACGCCCACTGAAACAATTTTTGAAAGCGATAAATAATGACAATTGTCTTGGAAAATATTAGAGAAAGACATAATTATATAAACTTTAAGGTTTAATTTAGAAGATGATTGATTTTATACTCGATTAATGAATTAGCTTTTAATATTTTTCCTCAAATGTCTTTCCGTTAAGATTTTTTTTCTCCATTGATGAAATTAATGTACCTGCAAGTTATGTGCAAATGGTTTTTGTTATAATTAAATGATCGCTAATTGGAATGGTCTAAGGGTCACTTGTCTCTATAAATAATCGATCGTAACAAGCCTCATAGGTCGTAGCATAATCGTAGAGCCCCAAAAAGTCTGTGTGGGAATAATATTCCTTCCAAAATATTATCTGTTTTCCGCTATCACGCTGCTTTTATTCATACTTGCTTGCAATACAAACTTTAAGAAAATTTAACTTAAACGTCAGCTAGACACTATTTAAAATTTTAATCCTTGATAGATAAATTTGATAAGCATTATTTAAGTATTAAAATCTTGATTGGAATTTAACTCACTGTGATTAAGGGTTAACAAGCGGAAGCGGGAAGTTGGAGAGCTTCTGGATTGTCGAACAAATGAATCAGATGCGAACTTCTCTTAAGTTCTAGTTCCAATTAAGAATTCATATCGCAACAGTAACATACAACATAGTTTTTACGGTGGTAGGGCCACGCAGCAGCCTCGGCTGTTGCACGAATGGGCAGGCCTGTCCGGGTAGGTACCACGACCTCACAGAAGACCAGCGTAAAGTGGAAGAGGTTGTTTACGAAGCGACACCTGCTACGGAAAACACCTGCCTAGTGACTCATCGGCAGACCTGTGCACGCTACGGCTAGTAGTGGGGCTTCTCGTAAGCACACTCGCTGGCAGTCGACGCCAAACTCCGTCCTGCGTCGAGCTCCGCTCCACGACGTCGAGTGGCTAGACATTAGCGGCGTGTACAGTCTATGTGACACAGTGCGACAGGACGCTTTATAGAACAGTTTTTAAAGTCAGTGTTTGTGCGCGTAAAGTGTTCGTCGCAGTTTTAACCGGTTTTAATCGGTATTCGGGCCCCTTTTATTATAAAAGGGGCCGAATATAGTGCAAAGGTGATGAACTAAGACATTCCACCGGGACACAAGCACAAATGTGCATATCTTAAGTGTAGTGTAAAGTCAGTGTACCATGGCGGACAAGGGAAAAATCCCGCGTCCATCGAAATCCAAGCCGAAGACCGCGCCCAAGCCCGTTAAGGCTAAGGCGCAGGCGCGGCCCGCGAGAGTCCGCAGCACATCTGCCCCCGAGTACGAGCACGAGCCCGAGGTGAGTCAAAGATCCGATACTCAGCGCCAGGCGGAGCGCGTTGCGACCACGGCTGATGAGTCGGCGCGATTACACGCCAGGCTCATCACCACCACACCGTTGCAACCGCGCCCGCCGAAGAGTGCTAAACTTCGCACTTCCCCCGACGATTCAGATCGGGAGGAAAAGATTCCCAGGCGGGGCCCGACCCCCGCGCAACCAATGGACAGCGCCGCCGCCCCTCCGGTCGCGGTGCTCGTCCACGACGAACCACCACTTTCCCCGGATGACGAGCCCCAGCCGGGGCCCAGCACGAGCGGTACGTCAATGCGTCAATACTCTGGCGCGGAAAGTAGCGGGGCTGCGACCGACTCAACGTCATATGCGACGTTGGTCCCCGAGGTGGGGGAACGGCCCAGCCCTGCCGTACCGCCGCCGAGTTACGCATTTATGACGTCCGCTCCACCATCTCCGAACGCCGCCACACCCGGACCTTCTACACAGCTTACGCAGCCCACACCCACGCCCAAACCAATGGAGGAGGATGCCAAGGGCTACCCTCCTATCATAGTCGAGTGCTTCCCCGACTGGACGAAGCACTTCGCCGAGCTGAAAAAACAGCTCGGCCACGCCCCGAACGCCCGATCTTTCGGGCGTGGTATGAGGTTCCGGCCCCAATTAGCGTCTGAATTCCGAATAATCCAGAGATACCTGGTTACGGAGAGTAGCAGAGACCCTACGTTTGTGTGGTACTGCTACACTCCGGCAGAAGACCTGCCCACTAAGGTGGGAATTCGTGGCCTCCCGACCGACACATCACCAGAAGAGGTGGTTGAGGATTTCATAAAGATGGGCTACCCGGCCACCTACGCCAGGATACGACGGGGCAGACCGGGGGCCCTGTTTCACTTGAAACTCGACCACCGAAATCACGAGCAGTTAGCAAATATCTATAAAGTCAGTGAGGTGCTCAACATGCCGGGCATCACGGTAGAAGCGTGGGTTGACAAGAGGGGCCCGGCGCAAGGCCATCGGTGCCAGGGCTTTGGGCACTCCTCATTCAACTGCCACCGACCGCTGAGGTGCGTCCGGTGTGCAGGAGAGCACCTAGCTGGCGAATGTCCCAACAAAGGGAAACGTAATAAATGCGCCAATTGCGCTAAAGCCCATGCCTCAAACGACATCAGCTGCGCCGTCCTGCAAAGGGTGGCAAAGAAGAAGGGGATAAAACTATCCTCCCGTCCCTCCTGCCGCGCCGAGCACGACGACGCGGCCAGCTGAAGACAGGCGCCAGGAAGAGGAAGTACAGCGCCCAACCCAGCAACCGCCACCGCAAGAGCTGCAAGAAGAGGCAGCTCCCACGCACCTCATGGCCCCGGCCAATGAACTACAACCTCGGCAGTGCACTGCCACAAAGAAGAAGAGGGGGAGGAAGAAAAAGAAGGCGAAAAGCGAGGCCCAGCAGCAGGCGGCGGCTGAGTCCATGCCTATTGCCCAACCTGCTGCCCCTCTACAGACTACGAAAGCCCCCCGTGGGCCGGCACCGGCTGCTACCGAAAGCAGCCAACGCCAACCTACTTCGAGGCCCACGGAGCGGCCGACGTTACCACATTTTTCAATCCTTCAAGGACACTCCCCCTCCAGGACTGCTGAGCAAATCGAGGTTGTGCAGCGGATCGAAGGGGCCATCTCTCAACTGATCAGGCTGATTACCGGTATATTCGGTGACATCCTGGTCTCTGTTGCCACGGGCCACGACCCATTACAGGCGATAACGACCGCCATACAATCCTTGACTACGGCTCGCAGAGACCCCCTCCACTGACCTCAAAATCCTTTACTGGAATCCCGGCGGCATCAGACAGCGCATAGCCGAGCTTAAGAGCCTCGTTAGGCAGCACGGCATTCATGTCGTGCTGGTCGGCGAGACCAAGCTCCCGGCGACTGGCACGCTGCGCATCCCCAACTTCGTCACGTATCGTAGAGACGAGGTCAATCCGGCGAACAACCGCCCCTATAGGGGGGTGGCCATTCTCGTCCGGTGCGACCTAATGCATGACGAGATGGGGCTGGGCAGTTATGTCAGTACGTGCACTATAGGTGCAGCCATCTACATCGGCGGGCGGGAGATGCGCGTTTACTCGGCATACCCGCCCCCAAATTCCAAATTTTGTTCGGCGGATATCCGCACCATTTTTAATTCCGAAGTCCCCACTATCATCGCTAGGGACTTTAACGCTAAACACCCAGCGTGGGGGTCGCGTATCACCTCGCCCGCTGGCAGAGCGCTGTTTGATGAGGCAGGGGTGGTCGGGTATGAAGTGCTCGGTCCGGACGAGCCGACTCATATCCCCTCCACCCCACAACATCTTCCAGACGTCTTGGACATAGTGCTGTGTTATAAGATGTCGCGCCCTATTCACGTCGACGCTATTTATGATGCCGAGACGAATCATCATTGGCCATTTACAAGTCCTACATTCGCTCGCGCTTGAGCTACGCAGCCCCGGCGTGGTATGGGCTGTGCTCTCCGAAGCAGAAAGATAGGCTTCAGGCGCTGCAAAATCTCACCCTGCGTGCGATCGTGGGAGCCGGGCGATACGTTCGAAACGACGTGTTAGCACAAAATTTAAAATTAGAGTCCATTTCCGATTTTGTGGCCCGACTTGCGCGCGGGATGTTCGACCGTGCGGACAACGGGCCACACACTCACTTACACAATTTGGCCCCGCTACACGCTCGCCCACCGGACGAGCGCCCACTCCCACGAGATCTGCTGAGGACACAGGTTCAGGGGGAGCCTGAGTCGCCGGCAGGTCCGTGCTCCACTCCCACCACACAACCCTAACCCAAGTAGTTAGGTCCCATTCCCTTCCTTATCCTAGACCCGTAGGTAGAGTCCCTGTCGTCCCTTCCTACGTAGTTTAGTCTTTTCATATAACTTCTGCCCTACTAACACCGCAGCCGCGGTCAGGGATTGTGCTTTTTCTGTTTCATGAGGAGTCGCCACCGGCTGGCCTTCTGCCAGCCGAGTTTCAGCCCGATCAGAAGGAGATGTCCCCGAAGATCGAAACGTATCGGGTCACCAACCCGAACCCATTCACGGCGTAAAGTGGAAGTATGACAAATACTTTCGCGTTTCGTCTGGTGAGTGAGGTAGCCGGAGCCCAATTTTCAAAAGGTTATCAACGCATCTGAAACCCTTGGGTGTGGCAGATGTCCATGGGCGGCGGTATTCACTTACCATCAGGTGAACCGTCTGCTCGTTTGACAACTTTTCGCATAAAAAAAAAAACATCTCTACACTAAACTAACGTAATTTTTTGGAAAGAAAGAAGAGAAGCCTTTCGCCTTTTATAATTTTTCTCCTTGGCTCTTTACTCCAGACTTACTCTTTTTTTAATAAATTGGAAGACTACGACTAAATTTTATGATTAAATTGGAAGAAAGTTTAATTGAAATGTTATATATTCTATAAATATTTTATTTACCACGCACAAAAAATTATCGATTCTGAATTTCGTTTGGATAAATCGTGAAATGCGAACTTGTTTTCAATTAGGGCTGTTAAAAAAGATTATACCGCTATCTTCAATTTTTTTACTTTGCGAAAATAATATTGTCACAGAAACGATTGTATTTTTAAAATAATTGTCTTTTTTGCATCATTCAGTTCAGCGATTATATATATTTTACAAAACATAAAATTGCTTATTTACACAGTTTTAAATGCAATCTTGAGTAATGACTAAAAATCTTGTACTAAATACTCGTAAACGCACGGGGCTTATTCGGAATTAAAATAAATGCTCGGACAAGTTAAAGCCATTACCGATACATCAATAGAATTAATTAAGGAAACAAACTAATAAAAAATATTTTTTCATCACTACGACAATGTTTATCAAACTATAACAATACACATATGTATTAAAATAAATCCTTATAATATGTTCGTTAATGCATGTGTATTGTATTCGAGCAAAAGAAGTGGTTCAACAACATCCGTTTTTCTCTGACACGAGAATTCCATCAAGTAAAAGAAATTCTTCGTGTAAAATGTTCTTGAGCTTTTGGAATCAAATAAATGAAATTATTATTTAATTCCTCTTACATTTGTGATATGACATCGTTAGTTAAATATCGCCCATATAACAGTATTAGTATTACTGTTATGTGGATTATTCATTCATACTGAACTGAATGTATACATAATATAATACATTAAATGACGTGAGTGTAATAATACAAAGTACTTAGAAAATGTTAATAAGGAACGTTTAGTTTAGTACCTTAAAATATTTGTTTTGTACAACATGTTCAAAACACAATTGATTGCAACTATTCAAAAAAAAAAGAGAGTTGATCAAAGTATGTCTAACCTATATACGGATATAGTGAAAACTTAAACATATCCTTGCTAAGAAGGATAACTTCTGTCATAAAACTTTTGAACTTTATTGATTTGATAAGGTTTTGTGGTCCTTTTTACGAACGTTTATACTGCATTACTATAAAACGGTTGGCCAATATTTTTCTATTCTTTTGCACACAAACAAAATTTTGCTGTAATGTAGTTATTCTAAAAACGAAAGATCCAAATAGGAATTACATACAGAACCTTGTTTACATAATTTGTAGCGTTTTGAGACTTTATTAACCAAAGTCTTAGACTGGGGTCGACTAATCTTAGTCCAATTCTGCCCCAAAAAGACACAAGTTTGCGTGTTAACCTATAAAAAGTCCCCATTTCTCGTAACGCCATATTTTAAGAACACTCCTGAATCTGCCACAGCTAGTGTCGGAATACTTGGCGTCAACATTTCAAGCAACGTCTAGTTCCGCGGCCGATGGAAAGGTAAGGCCAAATTAGCTCAAAGAAGTTTGGTGTGCACAGCAAGGCGAGATAGTACTTCACGTCGGCTTAAAGCATTAACCTCTATAAGGCGCTTCAGATATGAATATATATATAAACAACAGATATATCATTTAAATAGTTAACACATCTCTACAGATTTGGTAAAAATGAGAGTTTACGGTTAATTTTATTATTACTGCTAGTCTTGTTACCCAGAAGATGAAGGTTCTCATCTCGGAGCACAGAAAGTTTTTATCCATTTATCTACCCACATAGAACCACGGCTTCATAGTTATGGGATAGATGAGTTACATACGATTATTATGGAACAAAAAAAATTCTATATCGATAATCTCTGCGACTTTTTTTTGAAGTGAAACTTCTTTATCGGGGTTGGAAAAAAATTTAGTGTAACATTTTTCCGTTACGCGAGATCTTTTTTTTATCTTAAAATGTTCCTCTAACGCCATCTAGTGTTGAATAGGGGGTTTTATGGCGTCTTTATTCTTTAGTGGTTTTAATAGTTGACGCTAGATGGCGTTAGTTCCTTTGTGTGTTCATAGCAATATATATATATATATATATGTTATATTAAAGTGATCAGCAAAATCAAAGGGTTTATTTTAATTCTAATTCTAAAATGTAAACAATATATTTCGTATTTCAGTTACCATAAGCAATTAATAACACAAATATATAATAACGACATCAATGATAGTAATAATTCTATTACAATTAATGAAATTCAATAATAATCTTTGTAGTAATGACAGTGCTAGCTCTAATACTTCAGAGCACGACACTGTGTCGACTTCCACTTCTCCAAAGGCAGGCACCGCCCACCGTGACCTGACTGCGCCTTCCACCGAAGACACAATCTGAAGCTGACAGATGATGCTCTTCGAAACCTCGATCGGCTCCTGGAACTTGCGGTTGCGACGTCGATCTAACGTCCGCAAGTTCGGTTTTCCAAAAAAACTTCACTCACAACACTCGCGCGCGAGTCGAATGTCTGCCTTCTACTCACTGGCTGACTATTCGGCAACGAAGGACCATGTACAAATTCAAAGCGGTTGTATTTTGGGTCCGTGAGGTTAATTGAAATAAACAAGGATCACGTTGCAAGTTTTTTAATCAACAATTTTTGCGGACCTTCATACTAATTACAACGGTGAAACCATAGTGTGTTTTAATTTATTACTAACGCCACCTATGTATTACAAATAAGAAACTAAATATTATACAAAGCTAAAATGAAATAATTGTAGAATTTGTATTTATGTCTATGATAATAAAAGCCTTTTATTAAACTTTATCTATAATTTGTTTAAATCAGAATTTTTTAATTATTAAAAATTAAGTTGTGCATTACAGTTCTTTATTTTTATTAAAACCCATTTAACACGTTGCCGCTAACATTGCTAACGATTTTAGACAAAATGTGTGGGTGATACAGGTACATTTGTCAGGTGTCAAAAACATTTATTAAAGGGTAAGTCAAGCGGATATTGGGTATAACTTTATTATTATTCAGCATTACTTTATAACAAATCACACGCCGTGTAACCGTGTGTTGGAACGGTTGTTTTGTTACGATTTTCTTACTTCACGGCTTACAGAAATCATGTTTAAATTATGTTTTAAATAATATTATAACATTAATAGAGGAAAGTGGAAGGTTGCAAAATGTACTTAATTTTGTGACGACTCCAGCTAGTGTGGAAAGGGTAGGAGAAATAGAGTCAACAAGGTGAGAGTAAATAGGTTTTCACGGATTCCAGTACCTTTAACA